CTATCACGTGCTGCTTTTAACTCATAGATATAGATTTCCTATCAGAGTATACACTGCCTTCATTTTTCACTGTAGTTACATTGTCTTTTTTTTAACCTTTTATTACAGAAAATTTCAAACATACACATGAGCAAATGGAGTAGTATAATGAACTCCCAATAACCCATCACTCAGCTTTAAGAATTAGCAGCTCTAGGGCAGACATTGAACCTAATGCTTAAGACACCCATATCGCTTACCACATCACCTAGGTTCACTTTCTGCCTCCAGTCCCCGATTCCAGCTTCCCACAGCGCAGACCCTAGGAAACAGCAGTTGTGACTCAGGATGTTGGATTCCTGCTGCCCATCTAGGGGACCTGGATTGAGTTCCAGCTCCTGATTTCACTGCTAGCTGGGGACCATTGTGGGAGTAAACTAGCAGATGAGAGTTCCCTATGTCTTTCTTGTCTGTCTGCTTCTCAAATAAATAAATAAAAAATTGTCAGCTCTTGGGCCGGCGCTGTGGCGCAGCGGGTTAATGCCCTGGCCTGAAGTGTTGGCATCCCATATGGGCGCCGGTTCGAGACCCGGCTGCTCCACTTCCAATCCAGCTCTCTACTATGGCCTAGGAAAGCAGTGGAAGATGGCCCAAGTCCATGGGCCCCTGTACCCGCATGGAATACCCGGAAGAAGCTCTTGGCTCCTGGCTTCAGATTGGCGCAGCTCTGGCCATTGCAGCCAACTGGGGAGTGAACCATTGGATGGAAGACCTCTCTCTCTCTCTCTCTCTCTCTGCCTCTCCTCTCTGTGTAACTCTGACTTTCAAGTAAAATAAATAAATCTTAAAAAAAAAAAAATTAGCTCTGCAACCAGTCTCACATTATCCAAGCCTTCGTTCATCTCTTCCTCAATTCACCCTATCCCTGTATTACTTTTTTTTTTTTTTTTTTTTTGACAGGCAGAGTGGACAATGAGAGAGAGAGACAGAGAGAAAGGTCTTCCTTTGCCGTTGGTTCACCCTACAATGGCCGCCGCGGCCGGCGTGCTGCGGCCGGCGCACCGCGCTGATCCGATGGCAGGAGCCAGGAGCCAGGTGCTTTTCCTGGTCTCCCATGGGGTGCAGGGCCCAAGCACTTGGGCCATCCTCCACTGCACTCCCGGGCCACAGCAGAGGGCTGGCCTGGAAGAGGGCAACCGGGACAGAATCCGGCGCCCCGACCGGGACTAGAACCCGGTGTGCCGGCAACGCTAGGCGGAGGATTAGCCTAGTGAGCCGCGGCGCCGGCCCCCTGTATTACTTTTAAATAAATCCCAGATCACATCATTTATTTTATAAATGTTTCAGTTTATGTCTCTAGAAGATAACATAACCACAGCACCATTGTCACACCTGTGAAAAAAAACTGCTTCCAGGAGCTGGCATGGCACAGCTGGTTAAGCTGCCTGCTGCAATGCCGGCATCACATATGAGTGCCAGTTCCAGTCCTGGCTACTCCTCCACTTTTTTTTTTTTTTTAAGATTTATTTATTTGAAAGGTAAGGCTGACATAAAGATGGAGAAACAGAGAGAGAGATTTTCCATCTGCTGGTTCACTCCCCAAATGGCTGCAATGTCTGCAGTTGGGCCAGTCTGAAGCCAGGAGCCAGGAGCTTCTTCTTTGTCTCCCATGTGAGTGCAGGGGCCCAAACAATTGGAACATCTTCTGCTCTTCTCCCAAGTGCATTGGAAAGGAGCTGGATTGGAAGTGGAGCAACCACGTCTCAAACTGGATGTCAGCACCGCAAGTGGCTGCCCAAAATGCTACCCCACAGCATTGGTCCCACTGCTCCTTCCAGTGTGCCTGGGAAGGCAGTGGAAGTATTTGGGATGCCGCCACCCACATGGGAGACCCAAGTGAAGTTTCAGGCCCCTGGGTTTGACCTAGCCCAGCCCTGGCTGTTGTGGCCATTTGGAGAGTGAATCAGCACTTGTAATATCTGTCTCTGTCTCTCCCTCTCTCTCTCTCTTTTTTTTAATTTAAAAAAATTTTTTTATTTTATTTATTTGAGACGTAGAGTTATAGACAGTGAGAGAGAGACAGAGAAAGGTCTTCCTTCCGTTGGTTCACTCCCCAAGTGGCCGCTACTGTCTGCGCTGCGTCGATCCGAAGCCAGGAGCCAGGTGCTTCTTCCTGGTCTCCCATGCAGGTGCAGGGGCCCAAGCACTTGGGCCATCCTCCACTGCCCTCCTGGGCCACAGCAGAGAGCTATACTGGAAGAGGAGCGAATGGGACTAGAATCCGGTGCCCATATGGGATGCCGGCGCTGCAGGTGGAGGATTAACCAAGTGAGCCACAGCACCAGCCCCTCTCCCTCTGTGTGATTCTGCCTTTCAAATAAATACATAATTTAAAAAAAATACTGCATTTCGGGGCCAGAATGTGGTGCAGTGGGTTAAAGCCCCAGCCTGCAGTGCCAGCGTCCCATATGGGCACCCATTTGAGTCCTAGCTGCTCCACTTACCTTACCTCTGCTATGGCCTGAGGAAGCAGTAAAAGATGGCCCAGCTCCTGGGTCCTGGCTTCAGATTAGCTCAGCTCTGGCCTTTGACATCACTTGTGGAGTGGACTAGAGGATGGAAGACCTCTCCCTCTGTCCAGCTCTGCCTCTCTCTGTAACTCTATGTTTCAAATAAATAAAATAAATCTTAAAAAAAAAAAAAAAGACTGCGGCCGGCGCCGCAGCTCACTAGGCTAATCCTCCGCCTAGCGGCGCCGGCACACCGGGTTCTAGTCCCGGTCGGGGCGCCAGATTCTGTCCCGGTTGCCCCTCTTCCAGGCCAGCTCTCTGCTGTGGCCCGGGAGTGCAGTGGAGGATGGCCCAAGTGCTTGGGCCCTGCACCCCATGGGAGACCAGGATAAGCACCTGGCTCCTGGCTCCTGCCATCAGATCAGCGCGGTGCGCCGGCCGCGGCGGCCATTGGATGGTGAACCAACGGCAAAGGAAGACCTTTCTCTCTGTCTCTCTCTCTCACTATCCACTCTGCCTGTCCAAAAAAAAAAAAGACTGCTTTCATAGTAACGTCAAATATGGTATTGCAATTCAAAATTTCAATTATCTCATAAATGTAGTAAGAGTGGCTGTTGTGTGATGTGTTGCTTGAATCAGGAGCCGTATAAGAGCTATGTATTGTGATCGAGTATGTCTTGTAAGGTTTTCTTAATCTGTAGGTTCCACTTCCTCCTCGTATTCCTTTCAACTGCCTGGCCCAGGCCCAGCCCTCTCTGTTGTGTGGGCATTTGGGAAGTGAACCAGTGAATAATCTTCTGTCTTTCAAATAAAATTATAGATAAAAATTTAAATAGATGTTTGTTATCTTTTCCTGCATTTTAAGATACAGCCTCCAGCTACCTTTGTGAAACCCTTCCTGAATCCTCCCTTTCCTTTGTTGGTTCCCTTCCTCTGTTATAGCTCTTTCTTTGTCCCTTTGCTGTGTGTGTGTGTGTGTGTGTGTGAATATGTAAAATGAAGATGGATAGCAGGCTGAAGTCTAGGGTACAGTTGGGTCTCATTCTGTTTTCCTGTAACCCAGCACAGGCTTTGGCACAAAGGAGCAGTCATCTGTATATATATTAAAGGACAGAAGAAACAGATACTAGTTTTCATTTCTCTAAAGCATCCAAACTGGAGATAGATAAATGCAGTGTGCCATGAAGACTTGGTAGAGCATTGCTCCATTTCTTCCTCTTCGTCTTTCCTCAGGTTGTGTGTCATGTTCACAGCGGAGGTACTCCCTCCAGCCTGTCCCAGAGAGGAGGATCCCAAACCGGTACTTGGGCCAGCCCAGCCCCTTGACACATCCACACCTTCTCAGACCAGGTAAGGCCTTTCACTAGCACGGCTGTCTCTCCATTTAGGTGCTGTGTTTAGAACAATGCTCATCAATAGGATTTTTTGCAGAAATGGAAATGCTTTAGATCTGTGCTAGTAAGGTAGCCACATGTAACTGTTGTACACTTAATCATGTTGCTGGTGGAACCAATAGAATTCTTAATTAAATAGATTTTTTTTATTTAATTAAGCTTAAACTTGGGGTGGGCATTGTGCCACAGTGGATGAAACCACTGCCTAGGATGTCTGCTTCCTGTATCAAAAAGGGCCTGGGATTGAGTCCTGCCTCCACTTGCAATCCAGCTTTCTGCTGATATGTACCTGGGAAATGACAGGTAATGGCTTAAGTGCTTGGATCTTTACTGTCTACACAGGAGACCCAGATAGAGTTCCTAGCTCCTGGCTTCAGCCTGGCCAGGACCTAGCTGTTGCCACCGTTTGGGGAATGAACCAGTGGATGGAAGATACCTCTCTCTCATTCTGTCGCTGTCGCTGTATCTGCCTCTCTCTGTGGCCTTGCTTTTCAAATGAATAAGATAATTATGTTCTAAAGATTTATTTATTGAGGTCGGCACTGTTAACGCCCTGGCCTGAAGCACCAGCATCCCATTTGGGCACCGGTTCGAGGCCCGGCTGCTCCACTTCCAATCCAGCTCTCTGCTTTGGCCTGGGAAGGCAGTGGAGGATGGCCCAGGTTCTTGGGCCCCTGCACCCACGTGGGAGACCTGGAAGAAGCTCCCGGCTCCTGGCTTTGGATCAGTGCAGCTCCGACAATTGCAGCCAATTGGGGAGTGAACCAGTGGGTGGAAGACCTCTCTCTCTCTCTCTGCCTCTCCTCTCTCTGTAACTCTGCCTTTCAAATAAATAAATAAATAAATCTTTAAAAAAAGTTATTTATTTATTTGAAAGGCAGAGTTACAGAAAGGGAGAAAGAGGTCTTCTATCCACTGATTCACTTCCCAAATGGCCTGGATGACTGGAGCTGGGCCACGTCGAAGCTAGGAGCCACGAGCTTTTCCCAGGTGTTCTATGTGGGTACAGGGGCCCGAGAGCTTAGGCCATCTTCCACTGCTTTTCCAGACACTTAGCAGGGAACTGGATTGGAAGTGTTGCAGCTGGGTCTTGAACTGGCACCCATATTGGATGTCAACACTGTAGGCAGTGGCTTAACCTGCTACACCACAGTGGTGGCCCCAAGGTAAATCTTTAATAAAATAAACAGGTGACTACTGGTACTGTATTGACAACACCAGTCTAAACCAATACAATAAACCTTATAACTTAGAAGAACTGCTGATATTTATAAAGAAAAGTTGTATTGCTTTCTAAGTTTCTTTTTTCGAATTTTTATTTATTTCACTTTATATGAGAGGCAGAGAGAGACAGACAGCAATCTTCCATCAGTTCATTTACTCCCCAAACGCCTACAACAGCTGGAACTGGACCAGGCCAAAGTCAAGAGCCAGGAATTCAATCCAGGTCTCCCATGTGGGTGGTCGGGATTCAGATGCTTGAACCATCTTGACCACTTCCCAGGATGCACGTTTATCGGGAGCTGGATCAGAAGCTGAGTAACTGGGACTCGAGCCTGTACTCCAGCATGAGATGAGGGCATCCTGAGCAGTGACCCCCCCGCCCCGCCCCCACAAGTCATAGTTTCTAGAACTGCGTTCTAACTCTTGGTTCTGTGTGAGCTACTGCATTAAAAGTATTTTAGGAAATGTGTTTTCTTGAAAATGCAAAATGCTCATTTCAGAATTTTATTTATCAAAAAGTTTCTATGTAGATTAAGCAATATTTCCATATTTGTCACTGTTTTGAGAGGTAGTATCTTGTTTAATAAACATAATGCAGAAAACAGAGAGATTTATTGCGCTAATTTTTTTCTGCTGTAAGATTTCAGTATTGATGCTATTTAAAGATACGTCATCTCTCTTACTCGAACTAAGAATTAAGTGTTTTTATTTTTGTTTTTAAAGGCAGTTAAGGAGCAAGCTGTGGTAAATGAATATCATTGCAGAGAGGTGGGGAGGTGGGCTAAAACCAAAGGCTTTGTAGGAAAGCAGTCAGGTTGTCAAGGAATATGGATTGTTCCCTCTGCATGGGAGGGATTTCTGTGTATTGACTATGTAAGCGTGTATTTTAATGGGGTATGTGAATTGCCCTTAGAAATGCATTGCTCTTTCACTGTCTGCACCCAGCGAATGACACCAGTACGTCTCAGTGAGGGCTCCCTCTTGTGATTCTTCATCAGGGCGGAGCTCCTGCCGGGAAGTCGGCTGAGGTTCAGGAAATGCAGCTCACCACTGACCCCCACAAGAAATCAGAGTTTTTCAAAGCTGTAAGGTAAGCTTAATAGCAAGCCAGTCAATTTTAAGTATTGCTCTATCCTGTCAACCTAACTGTAGCCTGATTTAAAACAAAAAACAAAACTGGGATTGATGCTGTTACCAGCTTTGAAAATGATTGATTTCTTGTGGTGAGATAGTTTTCACATGGTGAGCTGCATTTTTCTAGGCCTTGAACCTAGTGATTGTAGTGTTGAGATAATGGCCTTTACACCTGGACTGCTTACTGTGTTAACTATGTGCATGTCAACTATATTTTAAATAGATAAATACGCAGACATACGTGTTCCTATATTTACATATGTATCTTCTGTGGGGGAGAAGGAATACTCTTCTGAGTTTTACTCTCCTGGATATAGGATTATGGACATTGGAGTAAGGAAGGATGGAAGTAATGCAATTTTAAAGCAGAATATCAGAGTTTTAAACTTCACAGGAACGATCAGGCATACTATTAAGTATACAGTTTTACAGGCAAAAACAATTTCCAAAGTATGAATCATTTGTCTTTCTCTATCCAGAGATGCAAAATTTATGGAAGTGTTAAAATGATTGTAGGGTGCAGAAAGTAAATTTTTGAGTAAAGCTAAAAGACATATAATACCTCTTTTTTTTGACAGGCAGAGTGGACAGTGACAGAGAGAGACAGAGAGAAAGGTCTTCCTTTTTCCATTGGTTCACCCTTCAATGGCCGCTGTGGCCAGCGCACTGTGCTGATCCGAAGCCAGGAGCCAGGTGCTTCTCCTGGTCTCCCATGCGGGTGCAGGGCCCAAGGACTTGGGCCATCCTCCACTGCACTCCCGGGCCACAACAGAGAGCTGAACAGGAAGAAGAGCGACTGGGACAGAATCCGGTGCCCCGACCGGGACTAGAACCCGGGTGTGCCGGCGCCGCAGGTGGAGGATTAGCCTATTGAGCCGGCCTAAGACATATAATACTTTTCTTTTTTTGACAGGCAGAGTGGACAGTAAGAGCTAGAGACAGATAGAAAGGTCTTCCTCTTTCCGTTGGTTCACCCCCCAGTGGCTGCTGCGGCCGGCGCACTGTGGCCGCCAGTGCACTGTGCTGATCCGAAGCCAGGAGCCAGGTGCTTCTCCTGGTTTCCCATGGGGTGCAGGGCCCAAGCACTTGGGCCATCCTCCACTGCACTGCCTGGCCATAGCAGAGAGCTGGCCTGGAAGAGGGGCAACCGGGACAGGACCCTTCGCCCCGACCGGGACTAGAACCCGGTGTGCCGGCGCCACAGGCAGAGGATTAGCCTATTGAGCTCCAGTGCCAGCCATATAATACTTTTTTAAAAACCTCTTTTGCACATCTGAAGTCAGTTTGCTAAATGGGGTATAAAATTATAACATCTCTTGTTTGTTTGTTTGCTTTTAAGATGTATTTATTTGAAAGAGGAAGATAGAGAAATCTTCTGTTTGCTAGTTCACTTCCCAGAATGCCCACAACAGCCGAGACTGGGCCAACCCAAGCCAGGAGCTTGGAACTCCATCCTGGTCTCCCATAAGGATTTCAGGATGCCAAGCACTTAGGCCATCTTTCTTTGTTTTCCCAGGTACATTAGCAGGCAGCTGAATCTAAGAGGAGGAGCTGGGACTCAGACTCAGGATATGAGATGCTAGCAATGAAAGCTGAACTTAACCTGCTGTGCCGCAGCACTGTCCCCTGTGTCATCTAGTACTTCTTTGCTCCAAAAGATTTTTTGTTTGATGTGGTTAATTTTCCAACACATGACAGTATTTAAAATTTGTGGGGGCAAGGCTGTGGCTCAGTTAAAGCGCTGGCCTGAAGTGCCAGCATCCCATATGGGCACTGGTTCTTGTCCTGGCTGCTCCTCTTCAGATCCAGCTCTCTGCTATGGCCTGGGAAAGCAACAGAAAATGGCCAAGTCCTTGGGCCCCTGCACCCACGTGGGAGACCTGAAAGAAGCTCCTGGCTTCTGGCTCCTGGCTCCCGGATCGGCCCAGCTCTGGCCGTTGTGGCCATTTGGGAAGTGAACCAGCTGATGAAAAGCCTCTCTGTGTGCCTACCTCTCTCTGTTACTCTTTCAAATAAATTAAAATAAATCTTTGAAAAGAAAAAACCTTTTGGAGGACTGGGCATTTGTTAAAATGCCACTTAGAACACTCACAGCCCATATCAGAGTGTCTACGTTCAAGTCCCAGCTGTACTTATTCTAGCTTCCTACTTATTTGAACCCTGGGAGGTAGTGGGTCTCCCACATGGGAAACCCAGATTGAGTTCTGGGCTCATGGCTTAAACCTGGCCTAGCCACGGCTCTTGTGGATATTTGGGGAGTGAATCAGCAGCTGCAAAAATCTCTGCCTCCGTCTTTCTGTTTCTGCCTTTCAAATATAAATAAAGAAATGTTAGGAGCCAGCGCTGTGGCATACCGGGTAAAACCGCCGCCTGCAGTGCAGGCATCTCATATGGGCACCGGTTTGAGTCCCAGCTGCTCCACTTCTGATCCAGATCTCTGCTATGGCCTGGGAAAGCAGTGGAAGATGGCCCAAGTGCTTAGGCCCCTGTACTTGCGTGGGAGACTGGGCAGAAACTCCTGGCTCCTGGCTTCTGGCTTTGGATCAGTTCAGCTTTGGCCATTGGCAGCCAATTGGAGGGTGAACCATTGGATAGAAG